ACTAGTTCAGTATCAGAAGGTAATCGTGATATAAAATCAGCTAGTTCATTATTAGGAGAATAACCTTTAGGTTTACCAAATCGTTTTGCAAATTCACCAATCACAACTCCAATAATTAAATATCGAAGTGGAATATAATAGAGTCCTATTACAACAAGTACAAGTAGAATAGTAAAAAGAGTCGACAACCAAGGAACAGTAAAATTAAATAAACTAAAAAAAGTACTTTATGAATTAATATAGTACAACTTTTCTTTTACTTTTTAATTCGTTCTAATGCTGAAGCAACATTGTCTATTTGACTTTGTATTTCCATAATTGTATCTTGAATACTCTGTATAACACCAAGAAATGATAACTTCTGTTCCTAAAAAAACAAACAAAATAAGAAAAAAATCTATATCAAAATTTACTTTTGTATTAATATCAGCATCTGGGATTTCTTCATCTGCAGAAGTTGGTTGTACAGTGTTTGATTTGGTATCATCATCTAAACTGTCGTCAGATTTTTTAAGACGATTTTGACGATATTCTGCAATTACATTTCGTACCAAGAAGAACAAAAGTAAAAAGGGCAACATATACAATTCAAAATTCCAAATGACAACGATAGTAGTCTAAAATTTTTATCGTTACAAATAATATTTTCACTGTTATTTTCTTACCATTAAAACTGACAAACTCAACCATGGATTTTCCCATCGGAAACAACAACCAATAAATTGAACGATATCAACAGTACCTTTTAACATATTCTGAATACGTGTGACATGTTGTTTTATAGCCTTAAACATGAATAAACATCAAAATAAGTAAACTATTAATGCAATGCTTCATCATAGAGAAATAGTCTTTTTTCTATATGATTATTTTGAGACATTTTTTTTCAACATCGTTTTATTTAATTCTCATCTTTATCATTGAATGACTGAATTCTTTGACACCATACCCCATGGATACTATGTTTAAGTTTAGGTACTACGAGTCATGGGACAACTCTGTAAAAATCACTAATGGAGAGATTAGTCACTATGTATGAAGAACTCAATACTATTTGTAGGCAAGATATCGAGTTACTCCATTTGCAACTATATAATAATCCAATCCATAAGGTAGAAGTAATCTTTCTATGTCTGTCATTGGTTCTGGATAGAAGGAATATGAACAATAGAATGTTTTAGTTCTAGAACGCACTCTAAATCTTTCATAAGACTCTTATCTGAAAATAAAAAATAAAAGACGGTACTAAATTTAATAGACGCGCTTTTGAAGAATTATATGGCGGCTTGTATTCATAAAAATACAATCGTCCAAAGAAGAGATACTGATCTGCTTCACCGGTAAAAAAGTTAAATGAAGAAGTAGAAATTTTTCAGAACAAAAAAGGTAAGTATTTGAGCCTATCACAGCTTACTATGAGTGAATCGAGGATAGACTTTTGGTTTCTGAAATCTTGTAGCTGTAATGCCTATGTTTATAACACATAGATTAGTAGTAATAATGCGAGCTAACATTGTAACAATACGTTATTTTTCCAAAGAAAATGAAAATTAAACAACAATAGAAACTTTTTGTGTACTCAAAAAGTGAGTACGCTCTAGAATTGGACAGTGTGTCTGTCCGTCCGTATACACAATAACTTTCGAAA